TTCACATTTTTTTTTTCATTGAATGGAAAAAAAACTTGAAAGTAAAGGACAAAAGATTTGTGTCAAAATCACAAAAAATACTTAGCATTACATTATAATAACTAATAAGTATCGTTTGGTCCTCCATCTTCTTGTATTTTTAGAAGCAAATAAATCAATCATACTTGCATAATCTAATTTTTTTGCAAAATCATTTTCAATGAATAACAATGCTATTTATTTTAAATGGACCTTTTAATTTTTTAATGGATTAATTTATTTTAAGTTAATTTGGGCTTTCCTTAATTTTTTTTAAACTTAAAATATATTTAATATATTAGACTAAGCTATAATAGAAGAGACTCCCTTTTTTTGGGTCTATTTTCAATGGATAACAATGCTAATTTTTTTAAATGGCCTTTTAATTTTTTAATGAGTCAATTTATTTTAAGTTAATTTGGGCATTTTTTAATTTTTTTAGACTTAAAACAGACCTAATATATATTACATTAATAGGAAGAAGCCTATTTTTTTAGTCTATTTTAAAAGGCGCTAGGCCGGTCCTGCGTATTACCAAATAACTTATGCTTGAGACCTAGTAAATAATTTGTGTTGTGTACGACTTATTCGAGTTTTGAATGATGAATTGAAATGAATTTTATTTTTTTTTGTCAAGATTAATTGAAATGATGAAGTATTCATTTTTTTGGAAAATTTGAGAAGTAGCTTGGGGTTGCTTTGCCGCAATCAGTGAATCAGTAAACAAACGCGTTAACTTTACAAGACTCGTCAAAGACGTTGAATATAATATTCAAAAATGGTAAACGAAAGTGGGACCCCCAAGAAAAATCCTCGCAATATTAACGGGGTCACTCACTGTTTATGTGCACACAGTTTCTACACCCTAATTTCGCATTCTTTGCTCAAACCAAAAAAATCACCACTTCCAAGTCTTTTTTTAAAGGGAAAGTCTAATATACACTTTTTAAAAATTTATTATATGCATTTTTAATAATGTTATTTTGTTAGTTAGAATTTATAAATTTTTTAATTATATTTTATATTATGTTTAGTTATGATATGTTTTAAAAAATATTTTGACTCAAATTATTAAAATTATATTATTTTTTTAAAAGTGGGTTGGAGAAAATCCATACCCATTAAAAAATGGGGAGGGTGGTACCCATAGGGAATGGGGAATGGGAAAAATTTATTATAGAGGAATGGGGATGGAGAATTAATATCCACCCCATTACCCCCATTGCCATTCCTACTCATAGTGTATCCCTTTCCAAATTGTCGTTTTTTCTAACACTTCTGTCACACAACATCAAAAAGTAATTCATTTTACATCTTTTTTTTTCTTTTTCTTTTTTTACAAAAAAACTTGGGTGTACATTGTACATCATATATAATCCTATATAAAAGTATATCAATTTTCACAAATTTATATAAATGATTTCACAAAAATACATAAGTACAATACAAATTCGTGTAATCACATAAATTTTCACGAATTTACATAAATTTATAATCAACTTATATATTTTTGTGTGACCACTTATAAAAATTTACATAATTTTGTGTATTGTATACGGTATGCATTACACACTGAAGCATTTTCCTTTATATGTGAGATCTTTGTATTCAATGAGTGATAGTTATTTGATTAATATTTTGATCTTAAAATTGATAAAATGAAAATAAGAGAAGAAAAATTACACAGTATAAGTGAGTGTCTCATCCGTTAAGTTAATTCTGTGGTCTTTATTTAATTACCATTAAGGTTTCAAAAAAGTTTATGAGTTTTTATGGATTCCCCTCCTCCTCCTCCTCCTCCTCCTCCTCTTTTTTTATTTTATTTTATTTTTTATTTTTACCTCTCCTTCTTTTATTTTTTATTTTTAACCTCTTACTTAAATAGATATAATAAACCCTCTAAATAAATACACATAATAATATAGTATTACTAATAAATGTTATGGGGTATAAGAAAAAGACAAACAAAAAAAATTACAATAATTTTCACTCATTTCAAACATTGTTCACAAATTTCAGAGAATTTTTAACCTTATACTTATTTTCACAATATTTTTTTTTATCTCAATTTCAATATTAATTAGTGACCCGAAAACACTTGTTAACATTTTTTTTTATAAAACCTACTATCTAATAACAAATATCATTATACATTTTTTTATTTTTTCTTGTCTTCAAGTATCATTACCAAATCAATCCAAACCAATCCAAATTAAATCAAATCAAGTCTTAAATTTCATCAAATGAGATCCGCTGTATGAATCATTTTCATCCATTTGACTCTATCCAAAATCATTTCATTAATTAAATTAAAGAGATTCGTATCTCTACTCGGCTTTACTTTTTTTCCCTCCGAAAATAATAATTTAAATTCATTTTGATGAAAAGATTAGGCAGAAGAGAAGAAGGGAGGGAATATCTCTTGATCAATCATTCAAGAAATTATTAGGTGCCTTAGGCTATCATGTATTCTTACTCTCAACCAATTATTAATTTTTATGCTCTTGTTATTTTCCTTCATCAATAAAAATCAATAGATTTCACCTTCTTCATTAATTATATTCAATTTGTGACGCCACATGACTATGTGCCTATTTGGTGCAGCTTAAAAGCTGCTTATTTCAGCTTTCAGCTTAATTTAAGTTATTTTGATGTGTTTGATTTAACTTAACAATGCAGCTTATAATTTTTTGTAAGTCAGAAATCAGCTTATTCTTGGAGTGGGGCAGGAGATGCTTAATTTATAAGTCAAAAATCAGCTTATGTTCATAATTATAAGCTATAAACTATTAAGACATAAGGTATAAGCACTTTCCCACAGCTCTACCAAACAGGACCTATGTTCCTAGAGCACCAATTAACTTCTCCAATTTCTAATCCACAGTCTCTATTTTTGTCAATTTTTTCAAGAATTTAAACCAAAAAATTGATTTGATAAAACTCATCTCAATAGTGGCAATCAATTTTTTCATTATTTTTTTTAAAAAATATCTAACCTATTCTCAAAATCTCTTTTAAGCCATTCCTCTCTGTGTGTGTGTGTGAGAGAGAGAGAGGGGGGGATCATTTTCAATTTTTTTTATCTTTTAACAATTTTATTAAACTTAAGTGATTTTTTTTATATTAAAAATTGTGAAAATTTTGATTATAATGTGATTTCCTAAAATATTTAGTGAAAACTTGATCTGATACAAATTTAATAAAAGAATTAGATTTTATTTCACCTTAATTTTTATGAAATTAAATTTGATAGAAAAATTAGAGATATTCTTGACCGACTAATTAGATAAACCCAATGACGTATTGATCTTCCAAGGAAGGCAATGCATCTCAGTTGGATAAATCATCATCAACACCGTATGATGTTCCCTAAAATTTTGCAAATCAAGATCCAATCACTCATGACGGTGTAAAATCCCCAGATAACATACCACCAAAACCTTCTAACTCTTTAGGCCCGTTTGTTTGGACTTATCGAGAGGGGATTGAGATTGATAGTAAGCTAGGACTACTATATGGAGTGTTTGTTTTGAGAGATGGGGGGAACTCCTAATCCCTTGATATTAGTAAAGGCATTGGAAAGGGGATTAGGATGGAGGAAGTAGAGATGACATTAGCAAAATAGTGAGGGGATTAGAAATTTTTTTATTTTTTATATATTGAGAATTTTTTTAAAAATATTAATGTTTAATTTTTTATATTTTTTATTTATTTTATTATTTTTAAAAAAATAATTTAACAATTTCTACACTAACAACTATCATTAAAACAAACACAATTTTACTTAATCCCCTCACTATCAATCCCCTCACTAACAATCCCCTCGCTATGAATCCCTTCCATTCTATCTCAGAAAATAAATGGGGCCCCATGCCCCTCTTGGGAAGTGGGTTATAATCTACTTTTCAAATTATAACCCACTTCATTTCTCACAAAAAAACTATTTATAAACAGCTTTTAACCAAAAGGCTGATTACAATCTCAATAAAATCATTCAGTGTGTTTGGTTTGAGTTTTCTGGATTAAGTTTTTTGAAAATTGACTTTTTGAATTTTCGTATTTTTTTGTTTTTAGCTAATATTTTTTAAATTTTAAACATTTTTTTTACTTTTTTAGCTGCACTTTACTTAGATGTATCTAAAAATTAAAAAATTTATAAAAAAATATTTTAAAAAACTAATAAATACATAAAAATACAAAAAATATACTGAATTCTTGTATTTTTTTTATATTTTTGTTGAGATTATTAAAAAGGGACCCGTAATGGGCCCCCACGGGCCGAACAGCACTGTGTTATTTGTACACTTAAATAAGTGTAATTTTTCCCAAATGTTACCTCCACTGCTCTGCCGTCAGAGTTGTTTGAAAAAGAAAATTGTGTAAATATAATTTTTTAATATTTTTTTTAGATAAATAGTGATAACTTTTTTAATTTTTTTTTAGTACCCAAATCAGGCCTTACGTTGACGCTACTCTTGGACCATTTATGGCATTGTTTGAGAAGTGGGTTTGGGACTAAAATAATTACAAAAAATAAAATAGTTTTTTTAGTTTTAATAAGATAAAACATCACATCTAATTTATAACTATTATATTTTTTTTCTAAAAAAAAAATTAACAATAACATCACATCTAATTTATAACTATTATATTTTTTTTCTAAAAAAAAAATTAACAATTTTTCTCAAATCAAACTTTTTAGCTCTAAATTAAAATAGTCAAAACAAAAAAAAATTAAAAAGCCAACTCACTTCCCAAACTAAGCCTATCTATCTTCTTATAAAAAATTTAAAAATAAACTAATCAAATGCATCCTAAATCATCTAAAAAAATAATTTGAGATGTTTTAAATAAGTATATTTTTTACTTTTTATAAAAAATATGTGAAAAAATAAAGAAGAAATGTTGATTAGTGTGATAAAAAAAAGAAGAAAAAAAGAAAAGAAAAAAGAAGATAGATTAAAATTGGGGATGCCAAACCACCCCCAAGTCTCCATCTAGTCTCTTGTTTTCTTCCTTGAAGCTTCCTCTGTTCTCGTCCCATCCCAGTCTCTGCATTTCACACAACGCAAGTTAAAAACTTTTGAAACTTCCCAATTTCTCTTCACACAATTCTTACTCTCTCTCTTTCTCGATTTTTGATATATCACACAAACTGGAGTTAAAAAGGTCACCTAATCCATTACCCACTTCCATAAATTCCCTGTATTTAATCTCTCCTCTGCTCAATAATATATACAGATTCAAGTCTAGATTAAAGCTTCAATCTTTAGACCCTTTTGGGTGCTCTGTTTTTGCCTCAAATCCAACATTTCGCTTCTGGGTTTTTTTGAAATGGCAAGTGTAGACATCTCCCACATCGACTTAGAATCCGGCGGTAGTCACCGCCGCCGCTCCTCCGCTGTGAACGGCGGCCACAATGAAAACAGCGACGACGAGAGCGTCTGTTTTTCCGACGCCGACGAGGGTTCTTGTTTCTACTCCACGGCCGATGGATCGTACGATGATTACAGCATTGCTTGTGGGTCTGATCATGAGATTGGAGTCTCGGAGTCCCGGAGGTTGTCGTCGGCGTCGGAGTCGGATTGTTCGGTGGATATCGAAACTGGGATTCGTAAAGTTAAGGTGCATTTGAGGAGAATAGAGAGAGATTGTCGAATTTGTCATCTGAGTTTGGTGAGTACTGCTCAACCTGAGTCTGGAATTGCTATTCAATTGGGTTGTTCTTGCAAGGGTGATTTGGCTGCTGCTCATAAGAATTGTGCAGAGACTTGGTTCAAGATTAAAGGAAATAAGTGAGTAAAGCTCTAATTTTTATGCTTTTTGTTGGAATTTTAATTGCATTTTTTGGTTTAATTTGATGTTTCATGATGAATTTAATATAGAATTTATTCAAGTTATGATTTTTATGAAAAATAAAGATTGAGAATGTAGTAAGGAGTGAGGCTGACATGTAATGTGATTTGTGCCTATATTTTTGTTTTGTTTTTTTTCTCTCATCATATCATTACGACTCTTTAGATTTTCAAAATTATAGCTCTTTATCATTGTTGTTTTATGAAATGAGTTGTCAGTGAAATTACTGTTTATATCTTCTAGGCTGTGTTTGGTTGGGAGATCAGAATAAGAGTATTGGTGTGTGGTAATATCATATGCTCTGTTCTTGGGGATTCATTTGTTTTGATTAATGAAATTTAAAATAAAATTAAAAAAAGTTAAAGAAGATTGTGCTAATCAAAGAATATGAGGAAAAAGTAAAGGAAGCGAGTAAAGCAGTAGGAATAATTAGTTGTTTCCAAGCATACCGACGATTCTTTTCTATTTTGTGCTTTTTTCAAAGTTTAGAAAATCTTTATCGTATATTTGAGATTCTTTCTTTTCTTTATGAAAGTGGAGAAATTGACCCCTTATTGATATACTAGTGAAATTGCTCGTGATAGAAGACACTTCATTGTTCATAAAACAACACTTACCATTAGATTTATTCAATCTTTTAACTTATCGGTTTAAATTTTTTATGCCGTATATGCAGATTTGAGACTTCCTTTATTAGTTTATATCTGATGATCGCAACTTTGCCAATGTGCATAATCTAAGATTTTAAGCCTCCGTACACACCCAATTTACAGTACAGATTTTGTAATACTCGATATGATTTATCGTACTTTTGTCTAATTGTGTGTTGATAGTACCATGTGTCATTTTGATCGGTATCAATGTCGTGAGTCACCGTACCACTTTCGACACCATTTCTTGAAAACAAAAAATTCAGTTTCACTTTTGATACCGTGTTGTGTCATTGATGAGACACCACTAGTATTTGAGCTTCTCTTTTTTTTTTTTGGTTGAAAAAGAGAAAAAACGAATGGCCAAAATGGGCTGAACCAAAGTCATTATCCACATCAAACTTGATTACATCAATTGAAAGCTGGTTTTGATACGATAGCTTGAGAACAATCCAAACCAATTAGATCAACCCTGTGACTTAATTAGATTATTCTTGGGCAATGTAATAGATCCATCATCAAGAAAGGACCATTAAAGAAATTAGAATTCATCAGCACAATTTAAAGGCATGAAATACTACAATTTTTTGATATGATTGTTCCAATTTTTCATCTTTATTTGTGAGGATGACTTCCCTTGGTTATGCATTTCTGCAGTTAGGTTTCTTAATAACATTTTCAATATGTGCATATAATTTGTAGATAAATTTAACTTCTTAATAGCATTACCTATTAAATAAGAAACACAAGCACGGACACACATTTTCAAAAAATATAGTACACGACACATTGGGGATACGTGCAAAACATATAATTTTATATATTTATTATGTCATATTTTAAAATATTTAATATTTATTTTGTGTCAAATATTTAATTCTATCAAATTTATCAACCTTAAGTATGCTCTTTTAGTAAAAAAAAAATAATAATAATTACTTCATTTATAATTTTTAATGTTTTGAAAAAAATGGTCCCTAATGTGTCCCTAACATGTCCCATCTGTACCAATGTGTTCGACTCTCTTCAGCATGTTCGACACGTGTTCGGAGTGTGTTTGATGCATGTCCAATACGTGCACCAGGTTTAACCACACACTTGAAACGTAGCCCAAAAAGTCGAGGGAATGAAGAATATGAACTTTCTACTTTGGATTGAGGGGCTCGTTACTTCAATTATGATAATGAAAAACGAGCTATCAGATTGGTATCTGATAATATTCATGTCATAAGTGATTCAATGTTCTAAATTATTTTATGTTTTGAGTTTAGGTCTTCCCTCCTCCATAGAAGGTTTAACTTCTGGTCTTTGCGTCATAGGCTGCTCATATGCGCTTTATATGAATGCCTCGGCAATCATTGCTTGTGTCAAGTGCTACTCAGAGGAGCTTTAATTTTGTAATTTATTACTTGGAACATGTATTTCATGTTAATTTTTTTAGTTCTGAAATTGTTGTGCCGCTTAAAATGGTAATGTCATGAGGTATTAATATGAATTTCTATTGAAATCCTATGTTTTCTTTGGTTTTATTTATCATGAACCATTGCTTTGAGGCTTGTTAGTAATTGTAAATTGGTATTCTTGTTTGTATAGTAAGAAGGTCATATTTGTATAGTAACACGACAGAGTTTAGATGGGTCTTATGAAGGAATAGGTTTCAGGTCACCTCTCCCATGGACCAAGACTACAAACTAACCCTTCTCTCTCAATGTATGCCCCGTTTTTATCTTATCAGCAGTGATTCATCCCCTAAAACTAGAGCTCTATATGGAAAATAAAATAAAAAATACAAGGCCAAAACATCACATCACATAGGGCCTACACAGACATTAGAGCTATTAGAACTCATTTTCTAGAGCTCCCAAACATTTTTTTTATCTTATTTTCAGATCACTTCAAAAGTAAATTGAAATTTCATCATGACCCAGTTTTTGTTTTTGTCATATGCCATCACCAATATGGACTATACATTATCATGCCAAAATTGGGAATGCAACTTTAATAAAATCCATATATGCTTCACCGTCTTTGTTTTTTTTTTCCGTTAACATACTTCATTTTGTATAATGTAGTCGTAGATCTATACAAATTGGTATTTTTGTTGGCCTATAATATTACATGTTTTGTTTGTTTCGTTATTTATCTTAGTCTTGCTCTACATTTCAGGACCTGTGAAATTTGTAATTCAGTCGCACAAAATATTTTAAGTGCAAATGAGGTTGTCGAGTCAACACAACAGACGAACGAGACCGATGCCACAGCAACAAACACTGCCTCAGCATCAGTACCTCCAACTGCAGAGACTCGAAGCTGCTTGAACGGTCACCGCTGTGTGAATTGCCTTCTCGCTTGCATGGTATTCGCCTTTGTCATATCTTGGCTCTTTCACTTCAACATCCCATCGTAAAAATCACGCATGAGAGTTATCGTCTGTATAGGTTGTGCCTCTATACTTACCTACAGTTGAATCAGTATTTTGAGTGTGCTTCTAAGTATCAAATCGATCGGTTTTTCTTATTCTGTTTTATGGTATCTCTTCTTGGTTTTTCCATGTAACAGTTTAAAAATTACTATATTGAAATCATAATAATGGTTTCTCATAATTACAGTTGTCTCACAATCCCCTTGAATTTTACAGATTCTTTTTCAACCTAGTTATTACGAAATTATATTTTGTGAAATGGTTTAAATGAAAAATAAATTTTGAGTAATTTGTTCTATTTTTATTTTTTAAATTGTAGTGAGTAGCTTAGATGTACAAGAAATTGAAATATCACATCTAAGAAAAATCCTATAGCGTGTGAACTTTGCTACTTTTTGGGGGGTCACATCTAAAACTGTGGCTGGTAATGGGAACTTCTTTTTTGGGGGTTTGCCTTTTCCTTTTCTTTTTCCACAGAAAATCATTTCCCAGCATGATTTGCTTTTGAAGTGGGAATGGTTGTTATGGCAATTTTCATTTAGTTGTGCCAAAGAAAATGTGGAATTATATGTGATATTTAGAAAAATTAGGTAGCGTTTGGTATAATTTTTTAAATATAATTTGAGAATAGAGTTGTATTTTAAAATTTGTGAGTTTTAAAATTATGATTTGAATATGAAAAATTTGTTTGATGAATGAGTTTTGAAAAAAAATTTAAATTAAGTGGGAAATTTTTGATGTGACATATAATATTGATATAAAAATTTATAACTCATAATTAAACACACAACTCAAAAATCTATTAAAAGTTCATAAAATTTTTTTTAAAAATTTAAAAATATTGTTTTATTAAACATATATTTAAAAAAAAAATGTCATGTTGTGGTTGATCCGCCGGACTACTGGTTAAGTTAAATTTAAAAAAAAATAAAATTGAAAATCCTGCTTGACACAGAGTTTTCTGTTTGTTGTGAAAATATAATTTGAAAACACTATCCAAACATGATATTAGAATGTGTGGGTAGAATTATAATTTGAAAACCCTTCTAAACACAAGTGTTTTCATACTTCCATTGTCATTAAGTCAAGGGCAATTACTATCATAAATCAAATTCAAAATCTTAGCGGTCTTAAAGTTTGGTTTAGATTATGAATTTTAGTAAAGATTTGAAATTCTTTTAGTTTTTTTATTGATTTTTAAATTTTTATTTGAATTCATAATTTAAATACAATTTAAAATATACAATCCAAATTCAAAATGATATCGTTTTCGCAATGATAGATAAGGTATACATTCACTAAAACAAAATAAAACGAACTAATTTGTAATGATTCTTTTTAAATGAGAGTGTTAAGTGGGCATGAAGCTAACCTCACGTTGGTTGATGCTTGCATTCCCAACCAAAATGAAAACGATATGTTTATCTATGAATCTAGAAGGTTGGTATAATATTTTTTTCACACTTCTCATTTGTACTGGGTACGATTATTGCATTCAATAGTTTTTACTTGTGTTCGTGAGTTAAAATAGTCAAAATAAATAAATAAATAGATAAGGCTAAAATGTTAATAAGACAATGTCACATTTAAATTATAATTATTTTATTTTTTCTCTCACAAAAGTCAAAAAAATTAAAAAACCTATCCCAAACAAGATTTTTTTTTGTGGTAAGTTAAAATAGTTCAAAAGCTAAAAAGTCAATTCACATCCCAAACGAAGGCTTCGTTAGAAATGGTTTTGGAAGTTTTGGAAAAATTAGATTTTTTCAAAACTTTGGTCTATTTTTTAGGTAGGACCCATGCGTTAAAGTTGGCGGGTCTAGGTGGTAACGCGTTCTATACTGTGTTGTGATTCAGGTGGTATATTTGGTTGCTTAAAACCATTATCGGGTGAATGAGAAATTGAAGCCAAAGTGAGCTCCATGGAAATTAAGTTTTTGGTGGAAATTCCTTAAAGTTTGGTTTATGGCTTGTCCCACATTGATTTGGTAGGCTAACTTTGAGTTGGTTTATAAAGCTTAAGTTTGGAACTTAGGGTAAGCCCCAAAGAGCACTCAAGTTTTGTAGAGAGGGAGGTTATGGACAAAGTGGGCTAGACCCATTGGACCCAAAATAAACACGCGCGCTGTCGTCGTCCATCTAGGTTGGGTTAGGCTTGTTTGGCCTAATATTTATCTTTTTGGGCAAAAAACATTTGAATTTATTTTATTTATTTAGAAATAAAATCTGTCCATTTTTTATTTCAAATTCTAGTTTGAAATTAAATTCAAATTTTGGTTAAAAAATTTGCACCTTTCTGTACAAATTTTGAATCTGTCCGAACAGATTTAATTCTCTCCCTCACCTGTTTAATTTAAAATTCAAACAGATTTGTATATGTTTAATTGAAACCGAACGAGTACCATACTTGTTGGATTCAAACCAAACAACCACCATTTTCCTGTATAAATAGGCAGTCCCTCATTTTGTTTTTCACTTCAATTTTTGTTCTTCTCTGCTGCCATTCATCTCTGCATTTTGCTGCATTGTTTTCTTGTGAGAAAAAGTGTAAACACAAAGTGTGTTCATTGTGCAAACAATTTGTAGTGCTGCTATTGTTTGTTGTTGATCATTTTATCTTGGGAGATAGACGTATACAATCTGAAAGCACTGTGGAGAGAACAAATCTGTCTTAAGAACACAGTATTAAACGCTGGACTTGATCAGAAATTTTGTTCAACAAATTAATTTGGTAAGTAATTAATTTACTTTTCTGCTTTATTATTTTTTTTTCTATTTCAGATTTTGATTTTGTTTTTGTAACAAAATAAAAATCTGCTTTATTTATTTTATTTTATTTTCTGGTTTGATTTTTGTAATCAAACAAACTTTCTCTTTTTTCTTTTATTTCTTCTGTATTCCGTTTGTTGTTAAGTACACAAACATAATTTATTTTTTAAATACAGTGAAGATTGTCCAACAATCTTAAGACAGATTAATTTTTGGTGTCTTCATTGCATTTATTTTTTCTGTGCTTTCACAAAGTGATATTCTGGTTGGAAAATATAAATAGTAGTAATATATTGTTTGACAAATAGTAGTAATATACTGCTTATTTTCTTTGACAACTAGTAGTAATATACTGGTGTCATTAACAATTGCAGAATATTAATTTGTGTTACAGAAAATTATTGTGGTATTTTATTTTTCTAGTTTTAGTAATAAAAAAATTAAAATTATTTTGTGTTATAATTTATTTTCTGGTTTTAATAACTAGAAAATTAATTTGTGTTTTAATTTTATTTGATTTTTGTAATCAGATATTATGGCTGCTGAAAGTAGTACTCCAAATTCGATCGTTACAACGACTCCGGTCCCTATCCAGAACCATGTTTAAATTCTGATAAATCATGGAGAAAAACTAGAAAAATTTAATGGCACTGAGTTTAAGAGATGGCAGCAGAAAATGCTGTTCTATATTATAACTCTAAATTTGGCCCGGCTTCTCCGTGAAGAGGCTCTAGTATTTAGAGAAAATGAAAGTGATCAGCAAGTTGTTGCTGCTGTAGACGCTTGGAAACATTCTGATTTCTTGTGCAGAAATAACATCTTCAATGGCCTTGACAACATGCTGTATAATGTTTACAGCGCTGTAAAAACAGCAAAAAAATTGTGGGATTCTTTGAAGAAAAAATACAAAACAGAGGATGTCGGCACAAAGAAATTTGTTGTCGGTAAATTTTTGGACTTCGTTATAATAGACTCCCAAACGGTAATTTCTCAAGTTCAAAATTTTCAAATAATTTTGCATGACATTCATTCTGAAGGTATGTCTCTTAGCGAGTCTTTCTAAGTCGCTGCTTTAGTAGAAAAGTTACCACCGACTTGGAAAGATTTCAAAAATTATTTAAAACATAAACGCAAGAAGACGACAATAGATGAATTGATTGTAAGACTAAGAATTGAGGAAGATAACCGAAAGGTTGAAAAGAGGAATGGTAAAAATCTCATTGAGTCCAAGACTAATGTGGTTGAACAAATACACAAATCACATAACAAAAAGAGGAAGTTTATTGGAGATGATCCTAAACAAGACGACAACAATGACAATAAAAAGTTCAAAGGTAAATGTTATAATTGTGGCAAGACCGGACATCGAGCTTCTGATTGCCGCCGCCCTAAAAGGGATCGCGGAAGTACAAGCAAAAAGACCACTAATCAAACCAATGTGACAGAACTTGATTACATCTCTAATGGGGCAAATAATATCAATCTCTCTACTGTGGTGTCTGAGACTAATTTGGTTGGAAATCCCAAGGAATGGTGGGTTGACATTGGGGCAACTCGACACATTTGCATGGACAAGAAGATGTTCACTACTTATAATGAGGCTACAAATGGTGAATAACTTTTCATAGAAAATTCTTCTACTTCTATTGTGGCTAAACAAGGAAATGTGATCTTGAAGATGACATCAGGGAAAGAACTTACCATCAACAACATATTGTATGTACTAGACATCTGGAAAAATTTAGGTAGCGTTTGGTAACGTTTACGTTTTTTTTTTATGTTTACAAAAATTTTATAAATTGGTTTTTGTTTATTTTTAGAAAAACATAAATGATAAACCTGTTTGGTTTGGACAAAATGTTTGAAAATTTTTGAAAACATAAACTAAAAAACATGTTTGTTAAAGCCAATTTTTTTTTAATTTAAAAAAAAATTATTTTTTATTTTTTATTTTTATTTTTTTGACAATGGGATCATACACATTATCCATAATAACCATATTGATACAATACCAACCATAGATAAATTTAATAACCATATTAGTGTAATGTTCATAACAACTTATAAACCATAATAATAACATTTCAATTCTTCTACAAACTATAAAAAAACATCTTCCACAATCTATTATACGCATAAATAATATTTCAATTGTTTCCGACAAATTCCCAAATTTGACCAGCAATTTGATTTCTTACATCAGACATGTGACGTAGTTGAGGTTTACTAATGTCTAAGTCAATTGGTTGGTGAGAACTACTTCCCGCATGTGTCGAGCTGCTACTACCACCTCCACTAGGCCCATCATCTTCACAATACGATCTGGATTGGCCCATTCAACGAACAATGTGTCACTTTGAGAATGTATCCTTATCCAGTTGTGTATTGTACAACATGCAATGGGGATGTATCTCTGCGTCTTAGTTGAATACGGAGGCATGTCT